CCTTCGTCCCTTCCCTTCGGTTATCTTCGTGTTCCTTCATCCCTTCCCTTTGGGTCCCTTCGTTTTTTCCCTTCGGGTACCTTCGTGTCCCTTCATCCTTTCCCTTCGGGTCCCTTAGTGTCCCATCATTTTTTCCCTTCGTGTACCTTCATGTCCCTGCCTCCTTTCCCTTTGGGTCCCTTTGTGTCCCTTCATCCCTTCCCTTCGGGAGCCATCGGTCCCTTCGTTACTTCCCTTCGATTATCTTCGTGTATTCGTGTCCCTTCGTCGCTTCCCTTCGGGTCCCTTCGTTCCTTCCCTTCGGGTGCCATCGGTCCCTTCGTTACTTCCCTTCAGTTATCTTCCTGTACCTTTGTAACCTCCCTTAGGGTCCCTTCGTGTCCTTTCGTCCTTTCCCTTCGGGTCCCTTCCTATCCCTTCCTCCCTTCCCTTCAGGTCCGTTCCTGTTCCTTCTTCCCTGCCCTTCGGGTCTCTTCATGTCTCTTCGGGTCCCTTCGTCCCTTCCCTTGGGGTCTCTTTGTGTCCCTTCGTTCCTTCACTTTGGATCCCTTTCTCACATCATTTCGTGTCCATTCCCTTCCCTAGGTCACTTCCCTTCCTTCCCCTTCCATGGGTCCATTCCTTTCCCATTATCACCCATCCTGTCGAGTCCCTTAGTATGGTCCCATTAGGTCACTTTGTCCTTTCCCTTTGTGTCCCTTCATCCCTTCGGTTTGGATCACGTTCTCCGGTCATTTCATGTCCATTCCCTTCCCATTGTCACCCATCCCATCGAGTCCCTTAGGACAGTCCCATCAGGTCACTTGCCATTTCAATTCAGGTCCCTTGGTCCCTTCCCTTCGGGTCCCTTTGTATTCCTTCGTTCCATCCCTTCCCTTCAGGTACCTTCGTGTCCCTTCGTCCCTTCACTTCGGGTCCCTTCGTCCCTGCCCTTCGGGTACCTTCGTGTCCCTTCATTCCTTCACTTCGGATCCCTTTCTCCCGTCATTTCATGTACATTCCCTTCCCTGGGTCTCTTCCCTTCCCTACCCTTCCTGGGTCCATTCCCTTCCCATTGTCACCCACCCTGTCGAGTCCCTTAGTATGGTTCCGTTGGGTCACTTCATCCTTTTCCCTTAGGTCCCTTTGTCCTTTCCCTTGGGGTCCCTTCATATACCTCATTCCTTCCCTTCGGGTACATTCGTGTCCCTTCGTACCTTCCCTTCGGGTAACTTCATCCCCTTCCATTCTTTCCCTTCATGTTCCTTCATCCCTTCCCTTCGGATCACTTTCTGCGGTCATTTCATGTCCCTTCCCTTCCCTACCCTTCTTTGGGTCCATTCCCTTACCATTCTCACCCATACCATCCAGTCCCTTAGTATGCTCACATCGGGTCCTTTCGTGCCTTCCCTTCGGGTCCCTTCGGGTCCCTTCAGGTACCTTCGTGTCCCTTCATCCCTGCCCTTCGGGTAACTTCATGTCCCTTCGGGTACCTTCATGGCCCCTCGTGCCTTGCTTCAGGCCTCTTCGTATCCCTTTGTTCCTTCCCTTCCGGTACCTTCATGTCCCTTTGTCCCTTCCCTTTGGGTACCTTCGTGTCCCTTCGTTCCTTCACTTCGGGTCCCTAAATCCCTTTCCTTCGAATCAGTTCTCCTGTCATTTCTTGTCCTTTCCCTTCCCTACTCTTCTTTGGGTCCATTCCCTTCCCACTGTCACCCATCCCATCAAGTCCGTTAGTATGGTCCCGTCAGGTGACTTCGTCCTTTACCTTCAGGTCCATTTGTCCCTTCCCTTTGAGTCTCTTTGTGTCCCTTGGTTCCTTCTCTTCCGTTACCTTTGTGTCCCTTCGTCCCTTCCCTTTGGGTAACTTCGTGTCCCTTCATCCTTCACTTCAGATCCCTTCGGGTCCCTTCATCCCATTCGTCCGTTCCCTTAGAGTCCCTTCATGTCCCGTTGTCCCTTCCCTTCAGGTCCCATCGTGTCCCTTCATCCTTCCCCTTCGGGTCCCTTCGGGTCTCTTCGTTCCTTCCCTTTGGTTATCTTCGTGTCACTTCGTCCCTTCCCTTCGGGTCCCTTCATCTGCTCCCTTCGGGTCCCTTCGTGTCCCTTCATCCCTTCCCTTCAGGTCCCTTCCTCCACTCCTTTCGGGTCCCTTCCTCCGCTCCCTTCGGGTCCCTTCGTATCCCTTTGTCCCTTCCCTTCGGGTCCCTTCGTCTGCTCCCTTCGGGTCCCTTCGTATCCCTTCGTCCCTTCCCTTCGGGTACCTTCATGTCCCCTCATCCCTTTTTTTCGTGCGGCTTCGTCCCTTCCCTCCAGGTCCCTTCGGGTCCCTTTGTTCCTTCCCTTCAGGTACGTTCGTGTCCCTTCGTACCTGCCCTTCGTGTAACTTCGTGTCTCTTTGTTCCTTCCCTTCCCTTCATGTCCCTTTGTCCCTTCCCTTCATGTTCCTTCATCTCTTCCCTTCAGATCCATTTGTACAATCATTTACTGTCCCTTCTCTTACCTGGGTCACATGCGTCCATACCCTTCCTGTAGTCCATTCCATTCCCATTGTCACCAATCCCGTCGAGTCCCTTAATGTGGTCCCGTCGGGTCACTTCGTCTTTTCCCTTCAGGTCCTTTAGTTCCCTCCCTTCGTGTCTCTTTATGTCCCTTCGTTCCTTCCCTTCCGGTACATTCCTGTCCCTTCATCCCTTCCTCTCGTGTCTCTTCGTACCTTCCCTTCCGGTACCTTCGTCCCCCTTCTTCCCTTCCCTTCAGGTCCCTTCGTGTCCCTTCATTCTTGTCCTTTGGGTCCCATCATGTTTCTTTGTCCCTTCCCTTCGGGTACATTCGGGTCCACTTGTCCCTTCTCTTCATGTTCCTTCATCCCTTCCCTTCGCGTCCGTTTGTTCCTTCCCTTTGGGTACATTCATGTCCCTTCATCCCTGCCCTTAGGGTAACTTCATGTCCCGTCATCACTTCCCTTCATGTCCCTTCATGCCTTCCCTTCTGATCCCTTTGTCCCCTCATTTCACGTCCCTTTCCTTCCTTGGGTCACTTCCCTTCCCTACCATTCCTGGGATCCATTCTCTTCCCATTTTCACCCATCCCGTCCCGTCCCTAAGTCCGTTCCCATCACGTCCCTTCGTCCTTTCCCTTCATTCCCTTCATCCCTTCCCTTCAGGTCCCTTCATGTCCCTTCGTGTCCCTTTGTCCCCCTTCATCCCTATCCTTTGGGTCCCTTCATCCCTTCCCTTCAGCTCCCTTTTTTGAGACAGGTTTACTTTGTTGCCCTTGGTAGAGTGCTGTAGCCTCAAAGCTCATAGCAACCTCAAATTCTTGGGCTAAAGCCATTCTCTTGTCTCAGCCTCCCAAGTAGCTAGGACTACAGGTGCCCACTACAACACCTGGCTATTTCTAGAGAGGAGGTCTCCAGCCGGCTCAAGCTGGTCTCTAACTCATGAGCACAAGCAATCCACCTACCTCAGCCTCCCAGAGTGCAAGGATTACATCCTTCTGAGTCTTAACCTTTTATCTGCCAATCTCTTGTGAGTTTAGTAGGAATTAGTTGACAGAACCTTTAGTTCCCCCATGATAAATTATTACAATTATTAAAATTACTAATATTAAATATTAATATTAAATTATTAAAAGTGACCTGATAAACAGAGGGCCAGCGCTTTAATAGTGAGAATATCAAGTTAGATTTCTCTCTGTGTTAGTTTGGGTCCTTGATGACAAGTGCAGGAGATTTTGAGGAAGGATGGGGGAAGTGGAGGAATCTGGGAAATGTATCAGACTTTGTAAGTCTGATAAAAGTGAACTACCTAACCTGTGTTTGTCTTTTCTTTGTTTTTTTTTTTGTTTGTTTGTTTGTTTGTTGAGACAGAGTCTCACTTTGTCGCCCTTGATAGAGTGCTATGGCATCTTAGCTCACAACAACTTTAAGCTCCTGGGTTCAGGTGATCCTCTTGCCCCAGCCTCCCAAGTGGCTGGGACTATAGGTGCCCACTGCAATGCCCAGATGTTTTTTATACATGGGGTTTTCTCTGGATCAGGCTGGGCTTAAACCTGTGAACTCAGGCAATCCACCCACCTCGGCCTCCCAAGTGCTAGGATTACAGCAATGAGCCACCATACTGGAACCTAGTTAACCTGTTTTGATTCCACCTTGCTCAGTTGATTTCTCTGTTTTTCCCTTTTTCTGAGGATGTTTTCCTTTTCCAAGAATGGGGTCTCTGGTCCCCATTCTGCCTGTAGCTGGGACCAGTTCAGTGCTATATCCAATAGAATATTCTGGGAAATGGGATTGGCCTATATATCCACAGTCCACTGCAGTAGTCACATGTACCTGTGGAATCACTAGTGTCACAAGTCACATGTAGCTATAGACTCACTAGTGTGATTAGGGAACTGAATTTTTCATTTTCTTTCAATTTAAAAAGCCACATGAGGCTATTGACTCCCTATTGAACAGTGCAGGTCTGGTTGCTACATGGGCTCATGGGCACAAGCCAATTCAGGTCAGGCTGGGGGTTCCCTAGAAATTCATTTTCAGAGCCTATCCCTGAAACTGTAGGGCAAGAATTTCAGTGATCTGACTCCTAAGAGGGCCTCGAAAGCCTCCAGACCTCCTCTTAACTCTTCCAAGACACATGGACCAGTGATGAAGTCAGTGAGGAGCTCATACTTTTCAGTCACACCCGTTCCCCTGTACTTGCCAAAATTCAACTGATGGAGAAAGGACAGGCCCCATCTAGAACACCAAAGTCAAGTAATCATGAAGAGCACAGCAAAACCTGCACCCATCAGCCGACCTCAAACACAGTGCTCGGCTAGAAACAGCTTCCATAGAAACACCCATTCATACTGAAACCGCCACTCTGCCCTCCTCTATCCACTCAGTGAACAGAAAGGAAAATGATCAATCAACTAGTTATTCTCATACTCTAGCTTCCAAGCGGGAGGGTCCCAGCCTTATCCATAACTCTCCAGGGAAATATTTTTACACAAATTTCCTTTATGCTGTATCTAGTCCATGAATGTTGGGTTAACTGAACCTTAATAAATAGAATGGCAGGCAGTTCTACTTCCCAAACATCACCTACACCCAAATTTGGCCGCTTTCATCTGCTTATTCGTACCTGCTTACCCTTATATAAGTTTCTCACAGGTAGCAGCATAAGCTTTAAAGTCAGTTTTTAAAGGTTCACAATTATAAGAAGTAGTGATCTTACATATGGCTTTAATTCACATTTATTAATAAATGATACACTCAGTACAGAATTAAAAAGTACCAAAGATATAATGAAAAGTAAGCCTCTCTCTGCCCATCACTCTCCTTCCCAAA